ATCCCCATCTCTGTCAACATCTCTAAACATTTCCATGTGATAGCAAGGTTGGTGAATCCTTAACCCCTCCCAGATCCACAAGCTGGGCTCAGTTTTGTCTTTGTATTCTCTCTCTCCTGGTGCTTTGACTAGTGGCTAATTCCTCAGACCTCAGTGCTTCCCATTTGACTATTCACTTCAGAGTTATCTATTAATGAAATGTAAGTTAACAGGGACTAAAACCTGGTCTGGGACCCTCAGCCACCACCTTATTATTTCAACTATATTTCCCTCAGCATGCTGGAAGCCACATGTTGGAGTGAGGCAATTACAAGGCTGGACCCAAACTTCAGTAGAAATTTTACATATACCCATTGCTTTTAAACTACAGCTAAAAACTGTTTGGATGTCCACAACTGCTTGGTGATAGTAGCCTCTAGTACAGGTAATTTTTCTGCACTGTTCTTCCCTTAAAGCTCTCTGTTGGGCCCCTGAGTCCCTGTAGGCTTCCCCCTACTGTGTAAACATGTCTTTATTAGTAATCTTCATGTTTTTAGAAAGCTGCTCTTTGAAAATTAATTTGGCTGGCTTAAATGTGTTGGGTTGTGGGGTCTCATTATTTATTTATTTAAGCCAGACTTTGAGATTTTCTGCATGTCTTCTTTGACCATACTTATTATTTTTGAAGGGGTTTTTTGTGTTTTTTGTTTTGTTTTGTTTTCTTTTCTTCTAAATGTCATCTTTGTTCTACTGATTAACTGTGCCAGACTTGGGGTTATTTATTATTTTAGCTTGTTGTTAGGATACCTTGAGTGATGCCATATTTAAAGCTGTAAATGAAGGGTCTCAATGTCATTGCAAGCATTTGCCCTTTCATCAATGTTGCACTATGACAACACATCAGCTACCTAAAAATTCTTAATTACTCTGCTGACTTTTACACTTATTCCCTTTGGAAGGAGAATATGCTCATCTCCCTTTTAAATTACATTGCACTACAGTGTATTTTTCTGTTGCTTTTTCCTCTCCAGCCATAATACTGGATTTGAGTACATTGTGTTCATAAAGACAAGCTGACTGTTCATTATTACATTCCAAACTCCCTCCTATGTACTACTCGTGACTAAATCAAGAGTTCATCCTCTGCTTGATTCCTCTGAGTGGTCATTCTAAGAAATATCCATTTATGTGGGCTAAAAATGCAGTCTTTGCATCATTCTTTGACATAGTGTCTACCCAGTCTGTATGGGGGAAATTAATGTCTCCCATTATCATTATGTTTTCTCCCCTGAAAACCTCTCAAGTCCTTCAGACGCTTTTCATTCCACTATTCTAATCAGGTGGTCAGTAGTTTATGCCCGGTATCACTTAGGCACATGTCAATGCATAATTGTTCTCTAGTAGTTTAAACAACATACGAGGTGAGCTTTTTTGTCTTTCTTTTCTTTTCTTTTCTTTTCTTTTCTTTTCTTTTCTTTTCTTTTCTTTTCTTTTCTTTTCTTTTCTTTTCTTTTCTTTTCTTTTCTTTTCTTTTCTTTTCTTTTCTTTTCTTTTCTTTTCTTTTCTTTTCTTTTCTTTTCTTTTCTTTTCTTTTCTTTTCTTTTCTTTTCTTTTCTTTTCTTTTCTTTTCTTTTCTTTTCTTTTCTTTTCTTTTCATTTTTCTTGCGGCTTCATATATTGAGCTGCTACTCTGGCAATCCTACTGAAATGAGACTAAACCTTACATTGGCCTGAGTGGGTTTTCTTGTTTTGTTTCTTTTGTTGTTTTTGCTTTTTTAAAATAAAATTCATGTTTGATTTTTAGCTCTGGACTTCACGCCATGAAAGTATCTTCTTTCACCAGCTGTTTTCTTCAGTTTGCTGAATGCACATTTGTAACTTGAAAGAAAACTTTTATCACCTCGGAGAAGGGTGGAGATATTTTCTATCTGCATGCAGTCCCCCATCTCTTCTGTAATGCAAGTATTCTATGGTCATTGCTCATAAAATTAGCTTACTGTGTATGAAGGCACTCAGCTTTTTTATACCCATACTGTTCTTCCCAGGGTGATGGGTATGGTGACCATTCCCTAATTTCCTCAATATCCATTCAGAAACTGCAGAGCCATTTTTCACATCTTGATTATTAAAGCCAGCTTAAGCAGAACATAGTACACTGCAGCAAGTAAGTCAGTGGTTTCACATCTGAAAGTTCTTTGAAGTTCTTGATTAGTCACTTGTCACTGAGCCTCCAGCACCTCCCTCATGCTTTCATGGTGACCACAAACCTGTTTAACATTGAGCAGAGTTTTGAGTGTGTCTGTTGAGTGCAGAACATGAACATCTGAAGCCATTTTGAGGGCTGCCTTCATTCTTGTAGTGTATATATATAGAGAGAGGTTTTATGATAAGCAGCTTTAAATTTTCAAACTCTTTGCACCCTTTATTTTGGGGACACTGCACCTGTCAAGTTGCTGGTGTGGAAAACTTGTAAAGAGCAACTGCTTGTTCCATTTGCCTGTCTCTCAGGATGCACCAATCCTTCCTTGGAGCTACCTGCATGTTTGGTTGAATTAATGTTTTGTTGTTTCCTGTTTCTACAACATTTATAGTTTTGGCCAAGCTCCTTAATGAGCTGACACACACAAAGATGCTGTTGTCTGCTAATCACTCTGCTAAGAGCTTTGGAACTAGCTGCAATTTGCCACCATTCTTGTAAATTTCATAGAATCAGACCAAAGTAGGTAAGTTCCTATGAATTTCCTGACCGTCAGCAGTGGCATAGACAAAAAATAGCTGATCCTGTTCCTTTAAGTGGGGGGAAAGGAGAATGCAGCAGTTTTCTGTTCCTTTGGCAGCAAAATAGCTGAAGCATCATGCACACACACGTATGACCAACAGTGCTGCCTCACATGACTGTGTCACACAGAGAATATAGGCTTTGTGTGTGCCACACAAAGTGGACAGCAGCACTGGAGCAAAGCATTCACAGATTCACAGAATGACCTGGGTGGAAGAGACCTTCAAGATCATTGAGTCCAGCCCGTGCCCTAACACCTCAACTAAGCTATGGCACCGAGTGCCACATCCAGTCTTTTTTTAAACAGATCCAGGGATGGTGACTTCACCACCTCCCCAGGCAGCCCATTCCAGAACTTTATCACTCATCCAGTGAAAAACTTTTTCCTAATATCCAACCTATATTTCCCTTGATGCAGCTTAAGGTTGTGTCCTCTGGTTCTGTCAGTTGCTGCCTGGTGAAAGAGACCAACCCCCACATTACTACACCCACCTTTCAGGAGGTTGTAGAGAGTGGTAAGGTCACCCCTGAGTCTCCTTTGCTCCAGGCATTCAGACCATGAGAACTGACTCAAGTCATGCTGCAGTCTTAAGTCAAACATGTTGTGGACAGCTTGGCTGTTCCAGTTCCAGCTCTACCCGGGTTTCAGGTGAATGTTTCCTCATCCCCTAGAAACAGTTACAAGCTGACCTTGCTTCAGGGTGCATCACCCTTCCTTTTATTATAAAGATGATCTTTTATAGTCCATTTTATTCAACTGTCTAGCTTTCCTGTTCCTTCAATGGGGATAAACTCCCTGCTGTAAACCCCAGATTATTCCCATCTACCTTACAAATCTATTGCTTACTCTTTATATTAATATTATAATTTCTGACAACACATTGTCTTGTGCCCCAAAATCCATCCTATGCTTAATGACTATCTCTCTGCTTTCAGACTGATAGTCTGCCCATCTCTAGTGAAGCTGCTATTGCATGTGACAATAAATCCCTTTGAAAAAGGGATCAAATAGCTTCCCTCTTCATCCATCCTGCACACACTCCGTAGTGCTTCTCAGGTTCCTTCCCAGCAGTGTAAGTCGCAGTGTTTCCCTTACTGCTGTCTGTGAATCATTGTATATGTTGCCCCATGCTGTTGTCAATGCCCTCTCCTCTGTCAGTCTCATCTCTTGCAGGATGTATGGTTTTATTCATTGTGTCAAAACCTGGCCTGCAAACTTTGCTTGAATGGAGTGACTTTTGGTGCTCAACAAATGCTAAATATGTTGTCAAAGGTTAATTTTGTGTCTCTTCCCACTGACTTGGGTAGACTTTCCAAAGTGCAGTGTTCCTTTTGCTGGACAGTCTCCTTGGCCTGTGATCAGGCATGGCCTTGTCTATGATGGCACTTTCAACCTCGTTAAGTTTTATTTCAGTGTAGGCTCACACACTTTTGTGTGAGCTCCTCCCTGCAGTGAGTATGGCACAAGCATTTCGACTTGGCTTGCATTATTTAAACTGTGTAATCCAGTTTGTTGCAGGGAATAATCCTGTTCTGGCAAGAAAACTAAAGAGTTAGTATCTCTCTCTCTCATTGCAATAAATCATTTAACAAAGGCGATATACTGGAATTATGCCACATTCCTCAGAAGAAGGCATGTTTCTCCCTAACTTTTAGTGAGGTCTCATTTGTTGCTCTACTTGATGGGACAGAGTCTGTGTTTGCTTCTGCTTGGCTGGGGCTTCTCAGAAGACTGGGTCATTCCCTTCAAAAACTTGCAGAGTCTGGATAGAAGCACAGTTTGTGTGATATGATAAATATGTTTTGCTGATAATGGGCAGAGGGTTACAAAATTGAATTTATGCCTTTTTCTCACCTGTCTTTGTTCATACTTGTGGTTCAGTGCTTCCTTCCTGAGACTGTGGTACCTCACATTTCCACTGGACAGGTATCTTTTTCACCGTTGTGTGCTTCCCACACTATCACTCCACAGCAGGAGCTCTGCCTAATCTGGGCCCTCTCCAGTTCATGAGGTGTTACCCTAGGGAGAAATCCCAGCCTCCTGGTCTGAGGCCCACAACAAGGGCTGACTGAAGCCAAGGAAGCTACCACAGGTCCACAAGACTCTTTTGTACCCTGTCTCTGAGGGGTCAATCACTGACCTGTAGGCTTGCATTCACTTGGCAATATGCTGCTGCCTGGAGCAGATTGACAGGAAAGGTTTTGCTGAAGTACCCACTCAAGAAAGAGGGTAGTCCAAGGCTGTTTGTGCAAGTCTCACTTTACTGCAGCTGGCCCCGTCCATTCAGACATCTGCTGTGCTGATGGAAAGAGTGCCATGTTCTGAATGGTGTTGCCTTGAACTCCAGCCACACAGGAATCAGGAAAATCAGCAATTTAGGGTCTATCCTCTTCTCCCATTCCAGCGTATTCCTTCTACAGGACCACAGAAGTAGGCAATTAATGGGACAAGAGGGTAAATCATGTTCCTACTGAGTCCCATAAAGGTCATGCGATTCTATAGGGCCATTTTTAACTCTCACTATTTCCCCACCTCTGGCATCTCTGAGGCTGTAATGATACTGGGTGTGGTGCAAGACTGTGAGAAGACAGGTTTCTGCTCAAACGTCTTTCTGAGTATTTTCTGCAGCGGCAAAACGGATGTTGGAGAGACTTGCTGTAGGATCTGCCCTGAAAGTCTTACCTCTGAGATGCCAGGCCCTGCTCGGTGTTAAGTGAACTTGTCTGCAGCTCATTAACATCAAAGCATTTTCTCCACTGGGCTGGGCGGCTCAGTAGTAACCAGCAAACAGACCAGAGAACAGCTACCCTCTCCACTAAGCTTTGCCTGCAAACAATCAACATCAAAGGGGAGCCACTGTGAAACAGGGGAAAAACAACGTTTCAAATGTAGCAAGTCTCATGGCTCACGGGAAATGGGGGGAGGCCAAAGCTGTGTCCCAGCTAGAGAGCTTGTGCTGAGACATTTACAGGAGCAAGTACAGGAGTGGCTGCTGGGGCCTGCCGATGGTCCTGGCCAGGAAAATGGTGGATCCACTTTGGTTTAACAAACCCGCCTGACTGTGTTGGTGGCAGCATGGTGCAAGCTCTGGTTTATCCAGCTTGGTCCAGCCTAACACTAGCATCAAGGCAGATCTGCCCGTTGCCTTTGTAGGTTCATGATTACTCACTTGGCTGTCACTCTTGATGAGACCCTTGAGGCCAGTCCCACTGTTCTTTATACCCTTTTTCTCCATCTCCCTGAACACAAGAGTTTTAGCTTGTGATTCTAGATGCTGCTGCTCTTTTATAAAGTGGAACTTGGCCCTTTGTTTGCTACTTCCCACAGGAGGCCTGTGGTATTAAACTATTTTTTAGATTACAGGACTGTTGCCTTTCTCTAGCTCTTAAACAGCTTTTCCTGTTTTATGTACTGGATCTTCTGGTTCATGCTTTCCTCATCCTCTTCCTCCCTGCTTTGTTGGATAAGAAATCCAAATTGTTGATATTTATCATGCTACCAATCTGTGATTAGCCCTGGGGAGGGCAGCACATAATAGAAAATTAATTAATTTTGGTATGGGTCCCAGTCAGGAATTAGAAGCTTTATGGTAGGTTCAATACCAGGGTAGAACCATGGGGCTGTCTCAAAGAGTTTGCTATTTAAATCAGTCTAAGAACAGAGGTTTGCAAAAATCCCCAAAACTAGAATTCTCTAATAATTAGTGCTGGGAGTCCACCCACTGTTCTAGCTGCCATGCAGACTGCAGATAGAAGTTGCTGGAGTTTAGGCCATTCATGTTGCAATCCCTTTGTTTAGATTATCTACCTCTCAGGAAATACATACTTCTGTGCTTAGTATAGTGCCTAACAGACTTAGGAACTCAGGCTCTAGTGAAAGACATGCCCAGACTTTGAGTTGAATGGAGAATGCTCTCTTCTGGATATGAAGACATGTAGACCCCAATGGCTCACATTGAAAAAAGGGTGGAATAAAGACCAGGATATCATCAATTGGAATGAGATGCAGCTAAGGGGATCACGCCTGAAGCAGGGGTGCCCAAAGAGCTTTCCTACTCTTTGTGGTATAGAAATTCTCCACAGTTCATCCTTTCCTTGTTTTCACTGTAATGGCTTTCAAACCAGGACTGGGATTCCCTAAACCTGTCTGCTCTGCTCATGAAAACAAGCTTAGTCTAACCTTGCCCTCCTTGCATGGAAGCCATGGAAGCTACATCTTGAAATAGCTTTTGCCTCTTGCTACTCTGGTTGCTGTCTGCTCTGGGAAGTTCCACCTCCTACAGTAAGAAATCATCCTCTGACTTCCTTCAGGACAATGTTAAGAGGCAACCAATAATCTTTCCTTGTACTACCATTGGCCTTCAGATATCTCTGTCCATCTTTTTGCCACTGCAGCTTCCCTGGTAGATTGGCAGAGCAAGTACACCTTGGGTTTGCATTCCTTTTGCTGAACTAGCCAAACAGAGCTGTCCTGATCTCCTTTTGTAGGACAGATTCATTGCTCTCCTACCTGCCAATACCAAGTGCCTCTTGGAGTTCCCCTTGAACAGGACAGGTGGGTTTCTGCAGCTACAACAGCACCTGAACAGTAGCTCAAACAGTTTTTTCTCTCCAGGAAATAGTTCATCTGGGACATCCTAATACAGCAGCTGCCTTTGACCAGCCAGCTTTGCACAGCCAACTTTGATCTCTACGCCTTTTTAACTCTCTAAAATCATGTATGGCTAGGCAAGATGAGGGTAATGACTCCAGCGATTATGGTGGGGAAATAAAGGCTCATACACCTTCATCTCTGGCCTTAGGCCAAGGCTTGAGTAAGAGATTTCACTTTGCAATCCTATCCCCTGTTTGAAAGAAGCTGGTAGTGGTGTTCCTGTTCTCCTGCACAGCCACAAGGCAGTGTCATGCCTTCCCGAGACTATCAATGTATTCCCTGCTTGCTGTTATAACTACCAGCACCCTGCCAACACCTGAACTCACCTGGAGGAGGGCCTTGTGCTTGCAGTGCAAGGCTGCAGCACAGGAGGTGGCCAAGTCACAGAGCCGTCACTGCAGGACCTCCCGGCCACTGCAGGCACACGCGCCTTCCCTTTGCATCATGGCCACCAACACACCTGGTGGTTTTATAACTGCACGGTGGAGCAGATCAGGAGATTTCATCTCCTCCTGATGGAAAACGATGTGATCCCGCCTGAAATGGGCTGAAATGACCCCTCAAGGAGGGATTGCAGATTGCAGCTCTGGGCACAGTGAAGGCTCAGGAGTGGGCTGTCCCCTCAGGACACGGTGACCGCCAGGGGTGGCACGTCCCCTCAGGACACAAGGGCCTCCCAGAGCCCGGTGACCGCTCCCGCGCTCCCGCTCCCTCACGGAACGCTCCGGGCTTGCACAGCGCCCCCTGGCGGGCGGGTGCGGCGCCGCCGCACGTGCGAGCCGCTGGGGGCCGGGCGGCGCATGCGCGGGGCGGGGCGGGCGCCGAGCGCGAGTGGGCGTGCCCGGAGCGCGGCGCGCGCGGCCCTCCCTCCCTCCCTCCCCCCCGCCCCGCCGGCCGCCGCCGCCCCCGCCCCGCCCCCGCCCAGAAGATGGCGAGCCCGTGCGGGCGGCAGCAGTGCTCCATCCAGAGGCGCGGCGTCCGCCACCAGCTCGATTCGTGGCGACACAAGCTCATTCACTGTGTAGGTGAGGGACGGCGGCGCGGCGGGGAGGCCGGGCCGGGCCCCGCGGCGGCGGGAGGCCTCGCCGGAGCGGGGGCCGTGAGGCGAGCGGCGCCGCGGCCTGCGGGCCCGCCCCGCTCCCCCTCCCCGTCTGCCGCCGTGAGGCGCCGGGCCGGGCCCCGCCCTGCGCCGAAGGGGGGGAGCCGGGAGGGGGTCCTGCCCTGCCCTTTTGTGCGGCCCCTGTCAGCGCCGCGCCCGCTCCTCCCCGCTCGGCACGGCCCGGCCCGGCCGCGGCCCCTTCAAACTTGTTTACGGCGGGGCCGCGCCCGGCGGCGGGGAGCGGCCCGCCTGTCACTGCCCAGGGGCGAGCCGGGGCCGGCCCGCTGCCCCCGGCCCGGTGAGGCGGGAGGCAGCGAGGCCGAGGAGCGGCGGGGGAAGCGGAAAGTTGTGGATGGCGGTGCCGGATTGACGCCGTGAATCCGGAGCGGGGCCGCGGGGTTAAAAGGATGTGTGATTGCTTTTCTGTTCTCCCTCCACCTCCTTTCCCCCCCCCCCCCCCCCCCCCCCCTTTGCTCGTTTCTTGTTGGGTAAGCTCCTTGCGATCGAATGTTTGGGGTTTTGAAAAAGAAGTCTCTTCCTTCTCAAGTAACTTTTTCCATTCAAAATACATATTTTGCCCTTTTCTTTTTCCCTACTAAGAAATTGAAACCTTTTCTGTGGGTCCCAACATTCACATAAATGTCAGCTCTAGGCCAGTAATTCAGTATGTGTCTCCAAAGAAAAAGGTTTTGAGAACAGTAGACTGTGAACTTGCAGAGTAATCGTAAAAATCCCTGTTTAGAACATGGGTATGTTTCGTCTTGTTTGGCCTTGTGTTTCTAATTGAGCACAAATCCTCATTTTATTTTTAAATATGCAGATATGGCCATAATCTGCCAGTGACTGCTCAGCATAGGTAATCTGTAATAACAGTCACAGATTCACTTTAGTTCCTTGTGTGCAGAGTTAAACCTCTTATTGTCAGTTAGCTCAGCATCCCAGTTCATTATCAGGGATTTGAAACACCATTTTTGGTTACACCGGGATGTGGAACTGCTGTGTATATTTTTGGCGTCATCTAGATGTTTAAATTTCTGTAATATTAAAGTGTGCTCTAGATGCTTGTTAACTTCAGATTAATTCAAGTAATTAATCTGTTTTATATATGAAGCAACTGAAGAGCAAGAGGTTACTGAGAAACTCCCACTACATAAAAGTGTTGGATTTTCTTTCCAACCATTAATTGATATTTCTAAATTCAGTTTGTGGGATTTTATTTTGATTCTATCTCTGCTACATTTTATTCCACCTCTCCTTGAACCAGATTTATTTTACTTCTGTCTCTTTTTCTCAATTCCTCTTACCTCAAGCTGCTGGGGTTCAGCTGTTCTAGTCCTTTCTAAACTCTCTATTTGCAGCATGTCATCTTGTCTTCCTCTCAGTCCCTGCTGCTCTAGCACTGGGTACTTGAATGCTCCAGTGGAGCTGTCCTATTGCTTGGAGTTTAATATAGCTGTGAGGAGTAGATTTGGAGGGAAGAAAAAACCCAAAAAGGACAGTTTCAAAGCTGCTGTTGAAGATATTGTGTTGGGGTGAAATGCAAGAATCGTCTCTATTCATTGTGCTGCTCTTTGGGAGAATCCTGGGTAGCTAGAGAAGTTCATGTGTACAGACTCAAGGAAAACACTACGTTATTGATGTTCTTAGCAACCCTAAGTGCTAAAACTTAAAACAAACACCCCACCTCCACCCCATTAATACACACCCTGTTCCATTTCCCTAAAGTAATTTAAATTGCCAGCTTCTGGTGAAGTTGCTTCCTCCCCTTGTCTCTTGCATATCTCTTCCTCATACCTAAATTTGATACGTTTTCTTCTTCCAAAAGATTTCCCTCTCTGAAAGTCCCTCTGTGTGTGTTTAACAAAGGATACTGAGAATGCTTTTAAGCACGGAATTGAATGGGGTTTTTTGGAGGTAAAGTACAAAACCATTTTAGAAAAATAAAGTCCAAAGTGTAACAGTGCTCTGTGACTTTTATCTTCATGGCAGTATGTTGTAAATAGTTTCAGCTTCAAATTGATCAGTTTTATGAGGTTTCAGGACCTGCCTCGTTCCTAGTATGAATCTTGCATAAATTGTTGGGTCATGTAAATGTGTTAATTGTTACCTTTTTTGTTTTCATACTTTTATATAATTATAAAGGAGTTATTGCACTTGTCCAGGATCTCCAGCTGAAATTATGTTGCGATCTTAACCCCCTTGCTCTAAATATACCTATGTTGTCTTTTAAAATGAATTTTGACAATATTCTGTGAGATTTGGAAATAGATTGTTAGGTGATTTAGTGTTCTGTTTCACCTTGGGTGTTTGTAGAAGTCTTTGAGATTTTTTTCCTGTAATAAACACTCTATTTTCCAGTATTTATGCATCAGTATGTGAAAATCTTTCTTGTAGTAATCAGACATACTCATTCATATTTAGTTTTGAAAGTAAATGAGGTGTGTGGGATTTTCTGTGTTAACATCATTCCCTGAAAAGTCATTGTAATACCACACCATGTGGCATTCAGAAAAAATATACCTGTGGTTTGAACTAGTGCATTTGGCAATAAATACGGCTTAGGTAATTTACTTTCCCCTCTTGTTTCTAGCTTCTGCAGTTGTCTGCTCCTTTGGACTGTGGGTTAATGGCAATTTATCAAACTAAGCTTGTGCTCTTAAGGGACCAAAACCACAGAGGGACTGACAGACCACTTGCCCACAAGGAGCCTATTCAGGGGAGCTGTCCTAGCAGGAAATATCTTTTGGAGGGAGTAGGATAATTTCTGCTGGTCTAGCTCTCTGAACTGGCTGGCAGGTCAAGCAAATGTCAGCTCTAGCACAAGGAAGAGTGTGAGAATGCAAAGCTGGTGAAAAAGAGTGAAAACAAAGCAGCAGAGATACAGATAAACTTGAACTGTCTTGGAGTTGCATCTTTGGTTGTCCCAGTATGGCCTTTTGTGGGAGATAGCTCAGGGAACTGATCTGGCTGAAACCTTCCTTCATTGTCATGCATTTCATCCCCTTTCTGTGAGAAGGGAGATGCTGAGACTGGTGGAGCATAGGTCTGTGAGCAGTTCATTGATCAGTGATGAAATTAAGGGAGCACCTTCATGGCCTGGAGGTGGAAGGAAGTGTGGAGAAGGATTGTCTAAGCTCTCTTAGCAGTGACTTGTAATGGGACTGTGGAACCACAGAGCAGGGGTAGCTGTGACTGGTGCATGGATCTTGATGCCCTGGTAGGACTTTGTAGAGACACAATGTGCCAGATCACAACTATTTTGATGCTGACATTTGTGTTCCCTGTACCAGTCTTGAGTGTTAAGATCTTTTTCAGTGGTCAAAAGCAGATACCTAGACACAAAGGCATGTGGTGATTTAATTTTTTTTCCTTCTCCCAGACTCTAATCATTCTGTGTTCAGGCACTTGCTGAATTTGAAATGGTTGATGAGATTGGATCTGATAAAAATGGGGAGTTTGAGGAAGGAAATAACCCGCAGATCCCTGAAACCCTCCTGACACCTTTTATACAGGCAGTTAATAGCATGGCAGTGCTGCGTGATCACTGGAGTAGTGTGAGGTGATCGCATGCATTTCTTTTAGCTGGTGATGCTTAGCCCTTTGTTAAATATTAGCTGTACTCTTGGAGACTCCCTGACTGAATTATGGTCTGTGTGGGGGCAGGGAGGGAATGGTTCACTACTCTTCAGAAGTGATCCTAGTTTTGGGAGCAAAATGAGGATTTCAAGGGAAAACTTTACCATTCTCATAAGATTTCCAATCATCTTGAGCTCTGCCAGTGTTTCATTGAAATGCTGCTTAGGTGTTATGCTGTCAAAATAAACTGAAGTAATTCATTTTTTTTTTTTCCCTTTTTTATGTTATTGTTGCTGATTAAATACTGCAACCTAAGTACCTGATCTCTTTCTGTTTAGTTTGTTGTATAGTGGTGGTCTTCTGTGACCTTGGATACTGTGGATTCTGAGGAAGAAATATGATACATCAGGAAGTGTTAGAATATAATAATAATCAAGAGAAGGTGTATAGCAGTTGAATAATTCTGAAATCTTTATTACTTTTCTTATCTTGATTATGGCTCCTGTATAGCTCCAGCCTGTGTGTAATATGAATTAGCTGCTGCTTCCAAACAGTTAGCTGTGTTACCTTGTTTTGGAAGTAGGCTCAAGCCTTCAAGTGTTTAACATGGTTCTAGTTCAAAGGTCAGATCGTATTTCTTTGTTCCAAAATGAGAAAGCTTATTATAGCTGTGATGTTGATGAAAAATAATGATAAAAAGTGAGTTAAAGTTTAAATGTAGGGCTTTTTTATACTGGTGTTTGTTTTATATACACCCCCAGCTTTGTCCCCAGAATGTGAGTGGTACTGTTTGCCTTATCTCAACCTGCTGACAACGTAGCTGCAGATTGTGGTTTCTGTTATTAATATAAATCCATTGTACAGCAATTTTACAGTATAGTAGCTGAAGGCTCGTTCAAGAAGATCTCTTCTATGCTCCAACATTTCTGCTTGTTGGCAGTATGAATAGAGGGAAGGAGAATTACCCTTTTATTACAAAGTTATGCAGGAAAAGATTGAGGCAACTATCATTTAGAAATAAAAATCCTTCGTTGGAAGGAGTAAAATTTACAGTGTGATTTTTAGTTTTACTTTAAATGTGCATAGAAGGATGGTATGTATCTGAAGAACAGCAGAAACTGAACTGCAGGGGATGAATCTGGAATCTAGATCAGTTTCAAGTTTTTTGAATTCACTACAAATCACTTTGGATTTGCCCTTGTTTCCCTGCTTGGACATGAAGAATAACTTCTTTCAGGGACGATGTCAACCAATCAAAAGCATACTCAAAAAATTATTGATAATCACTTTGAGTTATGCCATGTTGAGGTATTCTTCTGATGCCTGTGACATGAAATTTCAGATTAGGCGTAATAATTCGGGTTTTTTCACATTTCAACAAAAATGTATTTTAATTTGTGTGAGGTAGCAACAATCATTGCAGGGTGGGATGTTTCCTTCTTGGGATATGTTTGTCCTGCAGGAAGTGTAGGCATTTGGACTTTTTAACTAAGAAATAATGACATTTAGAATTCATCTGCTCTAATAGAACTTCAAAATTAATCACAGTAATCCATTCCATGCATGTAGAAAATCCATCTAGATAAAATCTTTGCAGCATTTATGCTGGGATGTATATATTAGAGTTTTACAGCTTTGTGATACAGTACCATTTTAAAAGAGTACTTGAAGGACTCTTGCAAAATTTTAAGCCATTTCTTGACAGTTTGTGCCATATGTTGATGATAGTCCAAATGCTATCATGTATTAAAGTCCAGTAACTGCACTTTAATTAATAATGGGTGATAAAAAAAAAATCCCAATTTCTATGCTCAGTTGTCTAAATCCTTATTATGTGTTACTTTTGTGACTCAACAGTCTGCCATCTTAGGCTATTGTACATCCAGGCAAGTACTGTCATGTGTCCTTATGGGGTTTTGGGGGTTAGCTTGTTTTTGTTTGCTTTGTTTTTGTCTGAGAATTTGTGTTCTTTCATTCCTATTGTAAAATCACATCGAGAATACTTCCTAGAAGTCAGTTTAGGCAAGGTTTGAGGAAAAACAGGCATTTAATAGGGTTAAAGAAAATTAGCCCCATCTTACTGGTTGGGGTAGAGCAAAGAGTACTGCAGTATTTTACAGGTGACTTTCCAATCCTCTTCTTCACCCTTCTGTGTATACATGTTTTCACTCTTAAGAGGATGAGGCTTTGGTTCTCAAAGGTGGCTGGCATAGATATTTATAACTCTGAGAAATACAAAGCTTTTGGGATTTTCTGAGGGCAGGGTTGGATGGGATGGGCTGAGACAATTTATGGTCTGCCTCTGGTCTGGCTTAGTGCTTATTTTTACTAAACTGACAGAAGTCTGCAAAACTAGCTAATCTTCTGGTGATGTGCAGTAACCTGAGTCATCCTAGGTGGGAATGAGATGATCAGAACTCATCTGAAACACTCCATGGGATCACATCTGTGTGGGGAAGGGAAGTGGGTAGAATAATCTATTCCAAAGGTACAGAGTCTTCTAGTTTGTATCTTGTTTCTTGTAACCATGCTACAGTCTGTGGTTATGTTTGACAGTAGTGCTGTCTAAACCGGCTTAAATAGTCTCCTCTGTTCAAACACAACTATGTGTGGCAGCTGGGTGAATCAGTTCCCTGACTAGACCTGACTGGAAAACAATCTTATTTTTTTTTCTTTTTGGCTATAACATCTGCAGAGGAAGAAGAGGCACAGAGAGTGAGGAGTTGAGACTATTCAATTGGTATTGTCACACATGCAAAAATACATCTTTCACTGAGTAGGTGTTAGTTTTTGTGTGCTTCATGTTCATTGCAGAAGTAGGAAGACTAAAGTAATCTCCCTCTTCATGGTCTCTCCCTGATAAAGAACTGTGGGTTTTGCTTTCCTAACCAGTTTCTCTTTAATAAAGTTGCAGCTTTATACCTCCTCTCCTCATATCTCTGTAGGCCTCTGGGGTTTCTCATTTTTCTCTCATAAATCTGTATGGCCATTTTGGGAAATGAGAGCTTCAGTTTCTTTCTTTTTCTCTTGAAGAATGCCTTACTGTTATTTCTCTGGATATCTTTTAAGTAATTTACCTTTTCCCTCAGATTTAGTTCACCTTGTATGTTGTGTGTAGTATCACATGCTCTTTATGGTGAGTTGACAAAAAAATGGAACTCTCAAAGCTAAGTAGAAGATTTGAGTTGCACATCAATGCTGCTGACATGTGAAAGATGAAGTAGAGGTTATGGTTTTGCAATGTTTCTGCAGGACACCAGTTCCTCTATGGTAAAATCGCTACTAGATGATGTCTTCGTCTCTTTTCCTACAGAGAAGAGAAGGATGGTAATCCTCTTGCATTTTCTAGGAGGGGTGGCAAAGTGGCTGCACAGGGAAGACTTGCAGGAACACAAAGGATGTTCCTTATGCCCTGAGGACCATGATATTTTATGGGAGGGAGTAGAGGGGGAGAAAAGAGGACTGGACAAGAGCCTAGTATTCATTAACAAAGGAAGCTTTCAGAAGCTGAATCCAGCAGCGTGGAAAGACATCAGAGGCCACCAGACAATCTTAACTCTTGAGCTGAGTTTACTAATGAAAACTTTCCTGGTTGTCTTTGATTACTTTTTGCATACACCTATAGTACAGGTGTTTCAGTGTGTAACTGGAGAGGTGAGTCCATCTGATGTCCTTTGCCCTCTGCTGCTGCAGGGGTGGTGGTCGTTTTGAAAATGGTTTAACTGTCAGAATAAGAAGAGGAACAGGTAGTCAAGAGTCAGAGTTCTCAATTTATTTATTTATTTTTTGTTGGTTGCCCTAACAAAAGGATGTGAAAGCTTCAACCCACAGCCTGTAGTTCCCTGCTCTTAATACTTCAAGGCTGGTTCTTAGTGCTGAGGCTCCTGTGCTTGTCGTGGTATCTGTAATGAGTCTGTAGCAATGTGCTGTTTGGTTCCCTTTGCTGCTGTGTTTGTGTGACAGCAGGCAGCTTGCTATGTTACCTGTGTAATAAACTTCTGAGTTCAGCCTGCAGCCTTGCAAGGATAGGCTAGTCCTGCAGCTGTTAAACTCTCCACAGAGATTCATGTACACAAAGCTCTTTGGTGATCTGCTCGTGCTTAATGTGCTGACTAACTTGCAGGTCAGTTTTGAAACTTTGTCGCAGATTAGTCAGAGTGATGGAGTTCTGTGCTTGTGCACTTCAGATGGAGAGTCTTGTGATCAGAAGAGTCCTCTCAGCCTGTGCCTTGTGTCCTGTAGTCTTGGGCTTATAGAGAAATATTTTTTTATATTTGAATGGAGAAAATGGATTTACTTTGGTTTAAAGAGCAACCTGACTGACTTCTTGTCTTCTTTGGGAGTTATTTGGTCCTCATTGTGAGCAAGTTGAATATAAGCTAATGTTACAGCAGACCTTTGTCTCAGGTTTGGTCATCTCCTGGGTTAAGGTCTGTCATTGTGACAAAAACGATGAGAGCTGCTGTTTAAGTGATGCTTTATCATGGACTTTAGGTGTATTTCTGAGACCATGCATAAAGAAAATTTTTGCAGAAGTGGATGCTTAACTTCCATTTCACTTTGCAAAATCAAGAGAATAGGAAAGCATGGGGGTAATTACCTTTTCTCATCTAAACAAACTTAAAAGCAATCTTCTTAAAGCAGTGATTCCATTTGCATCCTTCAGAATAGGAGGAGCATTGCTACTTTTATCTAGCTTTCTCTCCTATTTTAAAGTCATTAGTGAAACTTAACTTTATATGATACCAGAATCTCTCTTCTGGGGTTTCTCTCAAGGGTCTTACTTTTATCTTATGAAGAAAAAAAAAAACATCTGGCAGTGTTCACTTCCAAATTGAAAAAAACTTTTCTTAAAAAAAACTACTGCACTTTTGTGCCAGTGATCTTTTCTTGATCTAATAGTCCTCTTTGGTAAGTAAGAGGAGTGTTCCTTGCTGGTTTTAAATGCCCTTTGGAAAAATTGTGCTCTTATTCAACTGGAAGTTGAAAGTTTCAGTTACCTTAGTGGTTATTCTTTATCTGCATGCTGTACCTTACTATCTTTCAAAATATTACAAGATTAAGAAAAGGATGAAGACATGCGAGGGAACATATTGCAGAAAGTGTTGTGTAAGACAAGTGCACTGAGTCTTTGTCAAAACGAAGTGTCAAAGTCTCTTGAAGGGGGAAAAAGTAGTTTTTTCCCAAAAATATTTGCCATGAAATTTTAGTTTCTTCTAACTTATACTTGGTGGGCAAAATTGTATCAAGTGTAACACTAAATTTGGTATTCATGGTTAAATGCCTAACTTCTGCCCACACATTTCTCTTGGCTTTTTTATACTTTTCTGTCATCCTTGTCAATACTGTGCATTCATACAAAATAAGAAAAACGTAATCTTCTGTAACTGTACAGTAAGATGCTATGAGAACTTAGTTCTTGTATCTTACAGGAGTATTTTTGTTAACTCACAAAATCTAATGCCTTGGTCTGGCCTCTGCAGTTTTCCTTGAGTGATGTACAGTCATTTGGGAATTAATGGCTTCAGTGCTCAGTTGACATAGGCCATGCAGAGGTCCATTTTGCATATGATCTTTTGAATTCAGCAGGGATGCTGCATTTATTTCTTGAACAGCCCTGAACTACTGGGAGAGCTGTGTTTTGCCAAAGATCTCTTAAAACAGTGTTTTTCAATCTGAAGCTGGCAAGAAGCAACTGTGGAAAAACAAGGCTATTGCCAATAGTTTAAATTGTGTGGCATTTTTATGCTTTTCAGGATTCCACAACTTGAAAATTACTGCTCTAAATGATTTGGAAATGAGGGCTATTTTTCCTTTCCAAAGTGGCTGTAGGTGTTAAGGAGTATGAGCTGACACTTAGTGATCCAGTAGACTAGTATTGATTTTTATCTTTCCTTCTTCTCATACTTAGCTATTTAAAAGTATATTTTATCCAAAAATGGATATCATGGAGGATACTAAGTCTGGAAAACTTCAGTTTGAAAGCTGACTTCTGAAAAAAGGTTAGAGTGGTGTTAAGTTTACAGAACTGCACTCTGTGAACGTAGAGCTTCTGTATTTTCCCTTCCAAGAATCTTGCTATGAAGGCCAAACTCCTGCTAGTTTGTGTTAGATCTAAAGATTTCATTACATTCCTCCCTTACACGGTTGTGAAAGGAGCTTTAAATATGCAGGCTTGAGCATAAACTGACGTAGTGTCCATGCAGTGCATTGGCAGATGACCTAAAACAACAGGTAAACCACCTTTCGGGTCTCGAGAGGACATGGATTTATTTGTTTTAATGAGTAGAAGACAGTTGAAGTATAGGATGGATGGTAAGCTGTTTGGTAATCCCTTAGTGCACTGCTGTTCTGGGTATCAAAACCCAAATAGTCTCCACCCTGGCCACTGTCCACCTGGCTCTTTTTTTGCTAGAACCATAGCTGAGGTCACAGTTTGAGCATGCTAACAGTACAAAATTGAGTAGAGTTCAGCGGTTACTCTGATCAACAAGTTACTCAGTTTTAAAATAGATTAAAATTTGACTTTGTAAGTTAAAGATGTTGCAGAACTGTAGTTGACTTTGCCATGGAGGCTGCACTCTTTTCCTATGACAGATTGGTTCTTGTTCTTAAATCATCTGTTTGCCTGTGACTAATCTTGAATTTGTATCTTACTGCTGCTTGTACTTTGAAGTGAATTCTGTGCTCCAAATAAGAACAGCAAACAGGACTTTACATTTTCTCAATTCTTTGTAGCCCAAGGACTGCTCCTGGCGCTAGGGTAGGAAATGCCTTACACAGCTTGGTATATAATGGGAGGTGCTTGAGAGGAAGGCAAGAAGTCGATCACAGCTGCTTTGGTCTATACTTACTGGCATGGTGATGAACTTTAGCAGCTAAATGCACTTGTGATGACACCTCACAAACTTCAGAAAGTAAGCAGTTATTTTTGGAAACTTTTTTCCCCTCAGGACTAAAACTACTAAACCTACTTAACAAAAAGTCTATGCAAAAGCACTTTTTCCCAAGAAATTGACACCTTCTGCTTATCATGTTTGTGGGCATTTCAGCATCCCAACCTTGTATCCCTCTTGATGTTCCTTCTTGTTCTACTAGTGTCTGAAAGTTGGAAGGCTTTCCATATTAGCTGTAAGGGAAGAACAGTTATTTCCTATTTAGTTAGGGGAAAGAGATAAGCAATCCCTTGATCTCATCTTTAAGGCAGATGGATCTTTGCTCTCAGCATGCCATGGTGCTGCCTAGGGGAGTCTTCATGATTCTGCTGGTAAGCAGCAAACAGAGCTAATTTCTGAGTTGGTTTGTACTAGCTGACTTGAAGGGTTAAGAGTGCTGAATTTATTGTGCAGTTTTGAGATTCTGTTGGTGTAAAAAATTTCTTTAATAAATAAATAAATAATGCTCTGAACACTGCTTTGCTGCCCTGTAGTTTTGCTTGTGTAGCTCTATTTAGTCTGGTTTTAAGCTGGGTTGTGAATACAAGGTTTAATAAGCCTTGACTCAAATGAGGAATCGCAGGTTAGTGTGAACAGAGGCTATGGGACCTTAGCTGTGAGTGGGTCAGAATGAGAGCCATGGATGTGGGTGTGTGGAGGAATCCCTGGATCAGGGATGTCCTTGCCTATGAGCTAGAAGCAGTCTGTTCTCAGTGGCAGTGAAAGGACACCAGTGCCTGCAGGAGCATGTTGTGGTTATGTGTGACAAATGAGGCTCTCCTGAGGATTAATTCCTGCTTTCTGTCAGTGTGGCAGCCAGTGTGTAAATGTGCTTTGGCTGTGGTGCAATAACTGCCTCACTCTCTGCTGTCAGTCCACACTCCTGTAGGACTGGGGTCTAAAGCAGCTTGAGTCAGTGGTCTTAGGAAATTGATCTCTTGCTTCAGATGACCTAACAGAAGGTCATAAGCTTACTCTTGTTTTCAAAGTGACATGTAAAATACTTGTCTGTGCACTTTCAAACATCTTGGTACAGCATTGTTTAACTCAGGTGGCTTCTCTCTGCTAGTTTTTTTTGTTTGAGGGGAGGTAGAGATGAAAATTAACTAATAGACATCATGCACTGAAATATCCCAAGAGTTTTTCTTCTTGGAACCAGTGAAGGAAAATTAATATATCTTCGAAACTAGGTCTATTGAAAATCCAGACTTAGCATTAATGAGGATGCTTCACGAAGAATGCTTTTAGAAAAGGAGATGATGAGCTTTAATAGCTGTGTAAAGACTAAATTCTTCCAAATACATCTTAAAGCATTCTTGGGGAATGGTCAAAATATTTCCCACTATAGAGAAAAAACAGTTGAGGTAACTAACTACCTGATCTTCCCATCAAGGAGAAAAATGTATTCTTTTGAAGCCTTTGCTTATTAAAGTTCTAATGTGAAACTTGAGGGGGCAGTGTTTGGGGAGGCACTGGTGGGACAAAGTAGCAGGTTCTGGTGGGTTTGGTTTGGTTTTTAGTTTGGATGGTTGGGGGTTTTTATTTTGTTTTGTTTTTGTTGTTTTAAGCTTAAAAAGTCAAATGGAAGTCACCATCAAAAACCTATTCTAAAAACATACTGTTTTCAGTTAAAGAGTTGTAGGTTAGGACAGCAAAGGGATGTGCCTAGATAGGTTCTCTGATTTTTTTTTTTAAAGGAAATTAACAGAAAATGATCATCAAGAATATCTAACAAAATTACTGTTGGCTTTTGAACCGTGAGTTATTTTTTGTCCAGAATTAAGTTAAACATTGTGCTATTTTTTAAACTGTATTGCATGACATTAAGCAAGTTTCTAGAGGGTCAGATTTCTGAAAAGGCGTGAAATTACTCTCTTTGCAGTATCACTCTTTTGGTGAAAATTATTGAAATGTATTGATTAAGTTTATATACCCTAGAAGGGATGTTTGGTGTTTGTAGAAGATGCTATAGGAAACATTAAGTAGTCTTTTTTCCTTTTTAAAATAAGGGAGAGATTATGCTAGAGCAACTGTAATAAAGCATTTCTCCCTGATATTAAAGAAACTGCAAGTCCAAATTTTGGTCCTTGCCAAACGGCAATTTAGTGTTACATTTAGAGTAGATACAGGTTTGGGCAATGACTCCTACCATAAGTTCTGAGAAATCACAATTGTATGTCTTTTAACCTAAATGAGCAGTATGGGAGAGTATAGTTGTTTAATGCTGGCCAGTATGTAAGATTATTCAGGAAATATTTTGGTTCCACCACAGGTAAATAGAATATGTGTCCAAGGGATGCATAGCAGTAAAAATGAATTTCTGTATAAAATACAGTTCATGGTTGCACAGCAGTTTTTACTGTCATATAGATTTAAAATGCTGCAGGAGAAGGCTGATCATACCATTCCCTTTGTGCCACTGACCTCACTTTGTGTAAATGTGTGCTGGGTTGGATCAGGAAACTGATCCCTGAACCATCTTGTTGTGTTACTGTGCAAATGTGAGATGAGTGAGCATCTGGGGGGGTGGGGAGGATGAGTGGGATCAGCTCTTTCAGCGGAGAGGTGGATTTATCACGGATTAAAGTGCCAGGTGATCAGTAATCATAGCTTCAAAACATCGGAGACTTGCTGCAGAATGAACTTCCGTGTTACAGTAACCTTCAGTTTGCAGTAGTCTGTCTTCTAGTGACTTGGGATAAGTGAATTGTGGAATTTTGTATTTTCTTACTCTGCTTCTCATTGTTAACAATTTTTGTACAGTATATTTTGCAGTCATACATTTTGCATGCATTTTACTGCTACATGCATTTTACTGCTGTTTAATTTTTATCACCCTCCTTTAATGCACTTGAGTCAGGCAAGCCTCATTTTACTCCTGATGCTGCCTTATTAGTCAATGTGCCTTAAGTTACAGTAAGTCTTGAGCAGATAAAGATCTTTATCCAACATGTTTTTCATAAAAATTAACAGGAAGTTATAGAGAAACTGATGCTGTAATTGGGGCATTAGGGTCATCACTACTTAGCAAAAAGTGTTTTTCAGGGATGAAAACAGCTGAATCTGTCTTTATATGCCCTAGTATTCATTCTCATAGATACTTCCTTGCTCTGGTTCCTTTGACATAATGGTAGTCTAAATTCTCCTTTTGAACTAGAGTCAACACATTTTTGAATGTTGGCCTAAAGGAAGGGATTCTCTTTATCTCTTTGGGTAATCTGTGTATTTGGGCTTTAGCAAAATGACAACAATCTCTGCTAGGGTACCTTACACTTTAGGTTTATGATGCCAGTTAGGGAGGTGGGCCAGTGCTGAAACAGCTTGTTTGGGGTCAATGTTCTCCCAAAGAGCAGGGGCAGTGGGTTTCTAGCCTCTAGAACCTCCTGGACCTCAACCCCTCATTACACCAGACTTCAGAGCGTTCTTGGTCTAGTGCAGTATCTTCCATTTTCAGTGGAAACAGTCTCTACCACAGAGGGATGCATAGGTTTGGGCTGGGCTTTTTATGTGGTTGGTTAGTCAGGATGCATATTCAGCATGTCTACTGGTTTAGGGATTTTGTGTTAAGACAAGGTTTAAAACTGTCATAGGGCTTGCTTTCAAATGGGAGTCCTTAGGGAGGAAAAGCAGATAGAGCTAAGGGCAGTTAGCACTTGTGCCGAGTTCATCTGAGATTCATCAGCCAGCAGCTCTTGATGGCTGAGCAAGAAATATGACAGGGCTGTCAGACCAGCCCTGTGTTCAGGAGAGAGAACTGGAGCAAGATCCACTCCCCGCTAACACCTGTCTGCTCATTCAGCAGTGGGTCCCATTGCCTTCCATAAGAGCTGTGTGATCTGTGTGCTGGCCTCTCCTGCAGGAGCATGGGTCTGTCCTGCTCCTGTGTATCTCACCTGTTCTCTTCAGCACACTGTGCCAAAACCTATGGACCATGGAATATTGTTGACTCTATCTCCTTTCTGTTTTAATAGACCTTCATTTTCCAGCATCTTTACTGTAACATGCATGTCTCATGGTTTTCATTTGCAAGGAGTCCAGTGGAGTTACACATCTGACAAACTGGAGTAATTGCATGCTGTTCTTTAACAGATTTTTAAGCAGCAGCTACGCTTCTACTTCTGAAAAGAAGTTATCTGTGCTTTGCTGGCTATGCTTTTCATGATGGCATTAAGTCATCTCCTTGTATTGCCACTTACACTTTTGCCCTTATTGGAATTGGGATTCCAGGCTAGTTAAACCTTTGTCTTAACCCGGAACCCCATTCTCATGCAAGGTGAATATTTGTAAGTTACTGCTTAAAAAAAAAGAGACATGAGGGCATTGTGTGCAAAACCACTTATCCTTTCTGCAGTCTCATGAACTTCTAGCAGTGTAACTGATGCAGTGTAGGAGTAGGAATGAGTGATGGAGTAGAGAAGGAAAGGGCTGCAAAACTTGCTGTTGCTACTGCTCCGGAGACTGTGCTTTGAATCAGTAAGGTGATTGGCCTTTGCCTCGATGACGCTTGCCTCATGCTAGCACTGGTGTTTTGAAAGGGGCAAAAGATTACAGAGATACTTTGCTAGTGTCCTCTGGTGCAAAATCGGAGACTAATTTTTGTTACGTCTGAAGCCTTGCATCTTCCTGAAATACACTGGGCTCTTCAATGAGATTATGTGATTCTTGGTTCTGTGCTGTCTTTATAATTTGAACTAATTTAAAACCCAACCTATGTTTCATGTACCTTTGGCATGAGGGATACCTGCAACTTGTTGTTTAAATCTCCATTGAAATATGCAGGGCTAACCAGTTTCTGTCACAGATGAGACAAACTGGTAGGAGCTGTTTTGTTCTTGCCATCACACCACAAGCAGCAGCTGAAGATGTGCCTAGGATGACTTATTTCAGAAATCACATAGCTTAGCAGTTGTCAAGAGGAGGGAAAACCTCCGGTCTCCTGTTTGCTTATGATGATGGGATGCACAAACTGGAGCATAAGTTTCTATGCTGGAGCTTCTCCTAATATTCAGCAACATGATAGGCAGGTAAAACGTGGTAAAATGTTGAACCTTTTGGTTTGGGATGTTAGTTTTTTGTGGTGTTTTGGTTTTGCTTTTTTTTCCTCTGTGGACTGCCATGAGTATAAAAGATCTACATTGCCTCATGCAACCCTTGTTACCAAGGGAAACAAATTCTGTAAAATTAGCCTATTTTGTTAATTTGGGAATGAATCAGAATAAATGGTTCTTAGTTTGTGTCTAGAAATATTTCTTAGAAACAAAGGCTTGACAATCTTGAAGATGTATGCTGGTTACCGTAACTTTTACATTTACATTTGTCTGCTGTGGGTGGGGAGTCTCTTGTAGCCTTTCTAAAGGCAGAGTCCATGTTTTCCTCTTGTTATCTTTGCTATTAAACCTTGATAGTGCTGACATCTGCCTTGATAGATGAGTGAATGTCATTCTTGAGAAAAGTAAATTTAAGGCAAAAGTAAATGGTGAAGGATTTTTTTTAATTCTTCTTTCTTTCTAGTAGTTGAACTAGCTGTTTTGGTTTATTTTCTCAAGGACCACAGGAATAAATCTGAACAATGCAAGGTTGAATTGCACCTGTAAAAATGGATTCATTTTCTTAGCTTCCTCCTGTTCTGCACAAAGCCACAAGCAGCAGAAGTACTGGAAGAGCCTGCTGCGTAGGCTTATGCTAACCGTATGTTAACTTTGCTTAAAAAAAATTAAACCCTACCTCCTGCAGAACTTGATTTGCCATTGAGAAGAGCTTTCCACTTGCTGGGCACGAAGGAGAATTTTTCAGTCCCTGGCAATTGTGGAGAGAGATGGCTATTGTTATTGGCTCAAAGACTGTAGAAAGAACTTTAATTTCCCTGCTCTGTTTGGTGCCTCTGCAACTCCAGACTGTCTTTCAGTGCAAATATTTAGCTGACTGTCCACTGTTGCCTCTTCTAGGTTCCTTTCATTTTACATTTTATTCCACTATCCTTGTGGTTCTTCTGCATTGAGGGTTTGGAGTATTTTTCATGAGGTGTTTTTGTTTCCAAAGCAATTTTATTTTTTCTCTGGGTCATTTATGTATTTGTCTTCACTAATGTTTGCAACATCTCCGAACATAGTGAATTTACTCTGTGAATTTAACTAACGTGCTGTTTACCCTTTCTTCCAGATCCAGTTTCTGATCCTACTTCCCCATTTGGGAGTATGCAAGGGACAAACACATCTCTTTGCGTAGCTTGACTGGATATCCCAAGACTAGGATGTTAGTATATTTAAACATTTCTTTTTGCATTAAAATGTTGCCAGTATCTTAATTGCATATAGACTATTATTTCTTAAATGTAATTAACTTTATTGGCATTATACTTATTCAGAAGCTTGCTGGTAAAAACATCCTGCAGTCTGACTAGTGCTTATTGGTGACTTTAAAATGGGTGCAGGAGTAAAAAGAATTTCAGGGTTGCTTTTTGAATGAGCTTATTTAGTGTTACAGCTTTACCACTCATTCTTGAAAGTGTTGGCTCTTTGTGTAATAAGATTAACTGTAGGTTAATCCATGAACATATAAAATCTTTAGACTATGTTCAAGACAGTTATGAAAGACCATTTCAGACTTCTGATTGCATGAAGAGAGATTTTTAAGTACTTGAAATAGTCAAATATCTATAGAAATACTTGCATCAAATAAGTGCCAATAAAACCCAAAATTGCACACTGAAGTCTTCTTTGATTCCCTGCATCGCAGGTCGTATAATTATTCTGGGACTCGTAAGGAGCCAGTTGTCTGGAAGAGTAAGCCTTATGCTGAGCTATTTTTGCAGATTTGATAATGCAGCTTTCTTAAAAATGTGTCTTGTGATTGTATCACTACTACAAAATGAGATATTGCATGTTTTCTGTTATGTAAGTAATTGTATGGAAATAATTAAAGTCAGCATTAACCTATGTGCTGTTTTGAAAAATGTTGGGTCTTTGACTTGACTACTCTTGGGAGTGCTCCATGTGTTCAACTACTACTAAATTTAATTGAATTACTTATTGAACACTAATATAAGCAAATATTTAAAATACTGAAGTCACTAGGATGCTGAATACAATGTTAATTGTGGAGCTGTGGATTTTGCAGGTTCCTTTCCAGCCTTAGTTTTCCGTGTGCTTCTGTTATTTTTCCCCGTAAATGAAAGGAAGCTTCTCTTCATGAGGTTTGAATTTCTTTTGTTAAAACTGCTGCTGACCTTCTTGGCTGTGATTTTACAGTGATTAGATATAGTTTCTCTGCTTGGATTTTAATTGGTACTGTTCAGCTCTGTACATGGGTAATAAATCCAGATAAAATTGCAATTCGTCTTTAGCTTGGCTACTTTGGCAAAAGAAGAACTAGTGCAAGTTGTTCTGCAACACTTGTTCTAGTATCCCACTGCATTTTGTTTTAGTGTCTGATTTCTTTCACTCATGCCTCGGGTATTATTGCTGTGGTTTTATAGAAAAGTGTGTTGTAGTCGCTACAAGTGTTCTAGAAGTCTAATATTCCTTGAACTTGGAAATATTTCTGGTGTCAAAGATAACTTTTTTGAAAAGCTGGCTATATTTGAAATAATTTTCAGATTACTTAAGATATGAATTGACAGTAGTGGAGAGCAGGGCACTCACATGAAGTAGTTATTAATGTCTTGCACACACAATCATCAGTAATTTACAGTTCCCTCTTTATGCCATACTTTGTTAATTAGGTGTGCATGATAGTGTTTTTCTTTTAGAGAAGCTTATGTATGAAGAATTCTGTAGGGGAAAAAATGACCTTAAGGGAAAATATTTACAAAGTGTCATAGACATCAACAAACTTCGAATAGTTGTAAGTGTTACTGTCGACTTTTAATCCCTTACAATCAGATGATTAGGGTGTAGCCTGCTTAGTTTGCATCAAATTCCTTTGCTGTTTATATAGCTGTACTCCTGGCAATTCCTAGCTGTGGATTAGGAAATCCATTTCTGAGATTTTGCTCTGAAGAACAATTAAGAAGTTACAAAAAGAGCTGCTTTGATTATAAATGGACGGTGATACTGATCTTAAAAGCTAAATCTTCTAGCAAAGCAGCACTCAAAATTGGGAAGGGTTTCTGTTGTTTCTTCTTATAAAGGTTGTACCAGATACTTCAGTTTCTGGTGAATTTAGCAATACAACAGAGTGGGCAAGCTTGAGAAGTTTCTGTATAGGTTACCTGGAAAATTTAATTCTGATTTGGAACAAAGGACTAACTTCTTATTTGTAAGGCTGAATGATCTCCCAGTTTCTTCACTTGGCATCAAAGAATAGGTTTCAGATCTTCTGATCATCCTAGTGATGATAGTGACTTCATTCTTTGAAAGATCTGAGGGAGGTGTAGCAGGTTTACTAAGACCTTTTTATTGAGATACTAACTGGAAAATTAGAGCAAGACTGGCTGTTGTAGAAGTCTTATCTTAGGATGTTTTGTTTTTGTAACAGTTTGATGTTCTTGACTAGAAACCTGTAATTTGTTTAACTGTTAGCATAAGTTAGAATCATAAGATTCTGCTGCAACACAATGACATTGAGAAACTTAGTGTCCAGGAAGTAAGGGACTGCTGTCTTCTCTCAGATCACAAAGGATGATTTGAAGAAAAGAACTTCAACTAGATTGAAAACAAATGAGTGAGGCTATAGGATGGCCTCAACCAAAGTACAGTGGATTAAACATTTGACTAAAGAAGGCCAATTATATATGCTATATTTCAGCAGTTCCAGAAGGTCTACAATAAATGAGATGGAGAAGACAGCAATGTCAAAAAGCTGTACATAACTTCTTGGTTAGAGGAAGACTTAAAAATGAGATAGGAACTGCAATTACTATGTGTATAACTCAGGTGTAGTATAAGCTACTAAATATACCATTAGACACCAATTTCACTGTAGCTATCCAGAAAAGGTACTTGGGAATAACTTTGAAATCCTGACTGGACATCATGAAATCTGTGTTCTCCATCATGTTACTTTTGCATCAGCCAAATCCCAAGGGATCTTTTCAGGCTATGATCTTCTATTCTGATCCAGTAATTATTTCAGATATCTGTCTTTAATCTGAATAAGGGAAAGGCAGTCTGAGAGAGTGAACAACAAAGTTGGACAGATCTTGATCTCTGCAGTGTTGTTTAAGATGTCCTTCCCTGGTCCTGCCACTTGTTCCTGCTGCTGTAACTGGATTAGGCCAGGAAATTGTTCCAATCTAGAAAAAAGGCAAGCAAAAATTATTATTTTTTAAAATCTTCTGTATGTTCTTATGTAGTAATTTATATGTACAGTCGAAAGTGTGATTAGAAATGCTGATGGTTAAGCAGTCTGAGGTCAGCTTACAGAATTGGTGATGTGTGTCTGAAGCTAAAGGGTTAGTAACACTCCAAGGGTTGCAACATGAAATGAGGTAGACATGATGTGACATCAAAAGAGAGAGTGAGATTTATCAGTCACTTGCTCTTTGGGAAAATTTCACTAAACCCGAAAGGTCAAGCTTTTTTACAGCTATTTACTGTGGATTTCTGGCATCTGAGTGTAGTTATTTTTTTAGAAAAGGTTTACTGTTCCTCATCTACACTGAGTAATGTTCCATCACATCTGGCAATTTCAGTTCCCGCAGTTAATTTCAGCACCAAATTGTTTTTCTGCTGTAATATTTTGTTACAAAGTTGTCAGCAGCTGTGCTGATTCTTTTCTGTTTCCAGAGGAATATCAGGGCTTGCAGTTTCTTTAGAGCATAGGCATAACCCGAGGTATGACTGAAGGACAGCTTAATAATATTTCTGTTAGTATTTGGTTCTGTTGACACAAGAATAACAACAGTAATACAGCTGTATCTTCCTTGCTGTATGCAAGAGTAGTCATGTGCTTACTTTGTACCTTTGTGTTCTTAATACTACTGCTGTGCAAACAACTATAAAGCTGGAGAGGATTGTTAGGCTTAGTTTTGCTTCCTTTGGGTTTGCACCTTGTGTTGTAGACTCATGGAATGATGCCTCCCTTGATGTATACTTGCAAATGTGACTTCAGTGATGACAATTAGTCATTATAACCTGCTCTGTAGCTGGTATGAATTCTGTGACTTTCAGTGTTAAGATACTCCTCTGTGTGAGTGGATTTTTTTTCCAGGGTTTTTGTACAAGGTATTTAACTTGTGACTCTCTGCCCTGTTTTCATTTACTCTTTCATTTTTGTGTAGCTGCCTGTATCACCTTCTGATTTTGCCTAGATCATCCTTCCCTTTGAGACAGAAATGAGCTATCCATCTGAAAGAGCTAAGGATACTTTTCTAGCACGTCTGCAAAGCCTTCTCAAAACATCACATGTGCTTCATATTCACTATAGTCATGATTCAGCTTTCTTTCCATAATCTAGAGCTTGCTTTGCTTTTGTTAGTTTCTTAATCAGAATTTAGATATACTCACTGGTGTAGTGAAGTAATCACTTGACTTAATAGTGTATCATTGCATACCGTAAGATTTTTCAGGATGCTGTGAGCTAGCTGGAGTCAATGTGTTCATTGAGGCAATTATGTAATGGCTTATTGTGGAGGTTTATTTTACACCAGACAGACTTACAATCACAAATAACAGAGTAAAAATGCTCTTGGCAATTTTTACCTTACAGGTAAGCTCAGTATATTCACCTCTCAACTCAGAAATGTTCAGCTGTTGTCATGGGTCTATTCATTGAAGGTCATCAGCTTTTCAATGATTGGTGGTATAATTGTTTCGTTTCCTAAACAGAATCACATTTTCATTCCCGATTACTAAATAGATCTAAAAAAATCTCTGTAGAGATGGTGAAAAGGATATCTATAACTTGAGAGCTGAAAGAAAAGAATAATGCATTCAGTTAATTCAGTAATGAATCATGGTATAAATGACCTCTTGTGGTAACAAAGTTGAAACTGAGTCACAGTGCAGGAGTTTTCTAGATCACAGATGTGGTTTGGTAAATGCTTTATCTGCTGGCAGTCTTCGTTTAAGTGGATTCTGCAGCTTGTACCTACTGTTTCTGGGCTGATTTTTAGCTTTGAATTATTTCAATTAATGTGGTTTCAGTAGGTGACTGTGTTGCAGACAGAGAACAATGTCAGGCAAAACTGAATTGCTGAGGAAAGGTAACCCTCTTCAAACAGGACAGTTGTGGAGTATGAAATATAGCTCATATCTCAGCTAGTTCAGTTCATCCTCTAATGCTTCTGCACTATGCTGATATCTCTTGAGGTT